CTTTCTTTCTTTCTTTCTTTCTTTCTTTCTTTCTTTCTTTCTTTCTTTCTTTCCTTCCTTCCTTCCTTCTTTCTCTCTCCCCTTCTTTCTTTCTTTCTTTCTTTCTTTCTTTTCCCTCTCTCTCCCACTTTCTTTTTCTTTCTTTTTCTTTTTTCTTTCTCTCTTTCTCTTTCTATCTGTCTCCCTCTTTTTTCTCTCACTCTCCCTCCATTCCTTCCTTCCTTCCTTTCTTGTTTATATCTCTCCCCATTCCTTCCTTCCTTCCTTTTGGAATGGGTTCCAAAAGGTACACTAAATTTCATGAACTGGTTCTGGCGTACTGGTGTGAACTGGGAGAAACCCACCCTTGAACTGAATCTAACAGTAGAAAGAAAGGTAGTAAGCCAAAGTCCAAAGCATCCATTCTTTCATTATTTCCCTACCAACGCACCCAACTTTAAAATGCAAAGTAATGCATTCAAACTTTAGGAATAGAAAAAATAAAAATAAAAGGATAAGCTTGTTTTATTTTTTTATGGTTCCCTATAATCTGTAATGTATTGTTAACTAGTAAATTAGAGATAGGGGATAAAAAGGGAAGTACTAATGTTTTCCCTTCTTGCTAAATGGGCAAGACAATGTTTCTCAACCTTGACAATTTGAAGTGCATGGCTGGCTTGGGAATTCGGGGAGTTGAAGTCCACATATCTTCAAATTGCCACGGTTGAGAAACATGGCATGTAAAAGTGTTTTCCTTCCTTCTTCCTCCCATCCAATTCCTCTATTAATTTTCAACTGCTTATTCAGCATTTTTCAGTAATTGAGCAGAACAAGTGCAGCTTAGTAGCATCTTCTTATCCAACTAACCAATTTTATTAAAAGGTGTTGGCTTTTGTGGCTCTTTGCATCTGATGAAGGGTGTGCAGCTCACAAAAGCTTCTGCCTTTTAATAAAATGTGTTAGGTGTCTTCTGATTTTCTCTCTCTCATAAACTAACACAACTCTCCTCCCACAATGTAGAGTTTTCTGCATAAAGATGCTTTCCTCTCTTCCCGAAGCTTTAAAAGGACTTTCCTGTACCTTCTTTTTCAAAATCCCACAAGGAAAGCCTATTGCTCCTTTGATTATCCAGAACCGATGTGAATCTTTTTGTCATTTTGCATTAGACACGTAGGGTGTTTTCTCAGTAATGAAGTGCATGCCAATAGTCACTAATCTTTTTTAACCGTGATTTCGTTAAATAGTCCGAATATCCTGCCCTGAGAACAGCCACCATGAAGCCTGTGGAAATGGCTGTCCAGCCACCTGCTCTGACCGTTCTGCTCCCAGCACCTGTAACAACACCTGTGCGCAAATCTGCCAGTGTGACGAAGGCTTTGTCCGCAGCNCATTTATGGAATGAAGGAAATCATAAATCATGCCATGATTATAGCCAAATCCTCAGAATCTGGTAGGGTCACAATGGAAGGCAGGACGATCCAGTGGACACAGATCCCTTACACCGAATATTCATGGGCTGAAGAAGATGTGGAGATAACAGATCGTGCCCTGTCAGTGGAACATGAGAACTCTCCATTTGGACTTTTTTTCTTCGGAGTTGATTATAATCGTGGCTATGGTACTGCTGCTCTTTGTTCTTCAGGTAAATATAATGATGATGGTGGTGATGATGACGATGGTGATATCTATCTTTTAAAGCTAGTTGTTATTAGAATATACATTCAAAATGTCTCATACTTTATTAGAAACATCAGGCTGTATTTGGGGCCACTTCCAATTCAATATCTCTTCCACCAAGTTCTCCATTCGGAAATCAAGCAAGTTGATCTAGACCCTCTTTGCAGCTAACCAGGAGACAATGCAAAGACAATAAGCATGGTGTCTCCAGCCACTACACATCCTTAAGTATTAAAAAATTCCTTAATTTCCTCTCTAAAAAAAAAAAAGCACAAAGGGCACCTACAGTTACGTGCTCTCTCTTTCTCTTTCTCCCTCCCTCCTTCCCCTTTATCTGTTTATCTTTGTATTGCCATTTCCTGAGAAAACTGGCATGGGAGATTACAAGCTGTAAAGGTGCATCCCTCCATTAAATATAACATGCACAGTGTGCTTGAAAAATAGCAGGCCAGCATTCTTTGTTATCCAGTTCATGTCCTGGAGAGGGTAACCTTGGCTAAGGGACCCACTGGATTTTTCTTCTGAGCAGAAGTACTGAGATGCAAGTCAGTGAAGCTCAGAGAGGGAAGAAGAAAGAATGATGTAAATCTGAGATCCAGAAGGGAAGATGATACAACAGGAAAAATAAAGCAAGCAAGATCCTTATAAAACAGCAGAGCCCAAAACCAAACGGCATCAACATTGATGCAGTTGCAGATAAGATGATCATCGTGGGTAGGGTTTTTGCTTACAAGTGCATTCCTCCTGGGCAAGATTTCTTCAGCCTGGAGGGCCTGGATCCTCTTCCCAGGATTAAATCTCATGGAATGTACATGGGAGTAAATTTTGGCTTGCTAGGGCTGCAGAATTTCTTTAATTCTGTTTGTTAGTTCTGTTTAATTTATTTTTCATTGAAAAATAAACTAACAAATCAAATGTTTATAAGCAAGATTAAGCATTAGATCGATTTGCATTTCTCTTGCATTTGGATATGTATTTATTTTGGCTTTAAGTGCTGCTCTATGTCTAACACTGAGTCACTTCCAAAGCAGTAATCAAATAAAAAACTAAACCCAACAATATAACTAAATCAGTGGTGGGTTTCAAATTTTTTTAGAACCTATTCTGTAGGTGTGGCCTGTTTTGTGGGAGTGGCTCAGTGGTCATGTGACCGGGCAGGCATGATTTGGTGGGCGTGTGACTGGGTGGGTGTGGCCAACTTAGAAAATATGGTGAAACTCACTTAACAATGCTCTTGCTTAGCAACCAAAATTTTGGGTTCAACTGTGGTCATAAATTCTCTTTCTTTTTCTTTCTTTCTTTCTTTCTTTCTTTCTTTCTTTCTTTCTTTCTTTCTTTC